TTTCCAGGATATACTGTATGTTCCTGTGTATAAGACACCCCCATGTATAAGACACCCCCACTTATCTAGTCCAAACTTAAGAAATCTAAGTGGGACTTAGCAAGTGTAAGGGGAAAGGGATCAAAGCACTGCAAGATCACTTTGATCCCTGCTTTTCCCCTCCACTTGTTTTTGTTCTCTCCTCAGCCTACTTCCATGTATAAGACGACCCTCAATTTTTAGTCTAAAGATTTTATACAAAAGTATAGTCTTATACATGGAAAAATATGGTATTTTCCAGAACTTGCTACTAGAGGGAGTCACGGACCATGTAATGCATCGTGTTCGATACTTCCATGTTTTTCAGCATCTTGCAGAGGGGACTGGGAACCACCACCACCACCTCGCAGATACTACGACCCTGCTGTACACATCTTTACAAGCTATGTTTGTCTCTGTGCTATTCGCAGTGTACATTTTTGAGCATGTACTTAAACAACCCCAAAATGTGTGATGTTGGAAGAACTGCAGTAGCGAGAATCAGATTTCAAGATGGCCGGGGAAATAACTAATTAATTTTGCCATTAATTGCATGCACATTAACAGAACAGATGGGGTGGCTTGTTTTTTTTACCGGGCAAACTTGTTGGCCATACAAGGGTGTTCTTTATCAGGTTGCCTGTCCGACAACTTATCCACAAAATGTCAAGCATAGAAGTATCTGCCTTTCACTATGTCTGAGAGAGGATAACCTATCCAGGAAACAGTGAGCTCTTGAAACCAGCATGGCCCTCACAACGCTAAGAGGGCCACACCATCACGTATTATGCCACAGTATCAAAAGGGCAAGCAGCTGGCGAGGTGGCAAATTGCAGCTTGCCTCAAGATCACTTCAGCACGGAGGAGAAGTGGTTATTTCGCGGCTGTGCTAATGCCCCTCATTTTCCTCCTTGCAAAGGGTCAAAGCTGCAATTCAGCTTGAATAAAAGCGCAAACTGTTCGCGAGGTAGTCCAGACGAGACACCCCATTATGGCAGGTGAATAAAAGCACTCACTCGTGGGCGCCCGATAGATGGTGATGGAATAATAATGAGAGGGCAACTCTGAGCAGGGACGGGCGGCATGAATAGGAAGGAGGAGAGCAATTGTGCTTCCCTTTGTTGGGTTTTGTATCCAGGCGGAAAAAAGCACTTCAGCAGTAGAGCGTCATGACCCCAAGTGGAAGGATCCCACCTTTGCTAAAATAACACATTATCGGGAAATGAGAAAAGGGGAAGGGGTGAACCATTAGAGAAATGAAGCTTCTCTCCGGGACAACTGGGAAGGAGGAAGCCAACTGTGCAAGTTCTGCCCCAAAAGGAGAAACACATACACAAAGACAACAATCTTCTACTGGCCCACCCAGGGCAGAAGAGTCATAGGACGTTCACCAGGGCATGGGTGGCCTTTTGGACTACAACTCCCAGAATCCTTACGCTGGCTGGAAATTCTAGAACTGCAGCCCAACAGACAATCTCTCTGGAAATGTGCTCAAGCCCATCCTAGGCCACTAGCTGCAATGGGCTAGTTGCACACGAGTTGCATCACTACATTCTGCTCCAAGCACATGACAGACCAGGATTTCTAATCTAGTACCTCTGATTATGGGTCACAGCTGGATAAAGCTAAAGCTGCCTGTCTGGGATTTTTGCAATTTTATTGCTTCTAAGATTGATTGATTTAATTTAATTTTTTTGGACCTGGCACTGCCCCATGGAGTTTGTGTGACTGAGTGACATCTTTCCCTGATTAGTAAATGTGTGGTTTTTCAAAGGGAAAAGTACTTCTTAATTCATGCCAATGAGCTCAGTGGAAGAAACTGACTGGTTTACTAGGGGGTGTTGGGGGGGGTATAGGCACTGTTTTCCATTCATTTGACCCACATCCTAGGAAATGGGCGACTTCCCCAGAGAACAGCCAGCCCAACCTGGCCCCTGGGACATGTTGGGAGTTCTGTGCCATTCATAGTGGCGCTCATCTCTAAGGAAATATTGTACCTGAGAAGTTTTAAAGAAAATGTCCCTTCTAGCCTGGTGGTTCATGTGCCTTTATCAATTGCACAACAGGAAGAAAAACAAAGAATCCAAGACACACCCAACCACCCCGGTTCTCCCATCAGCTATCAACAGCTTTCGGTTCTGACTGAAGCCCTTGCAGATGTTTCACTCATTAGCACAAACCTCATTAAACACATCCCAATATTCCACAAAACACAACAGGGACAGTTAAGACAAGGTTTAGCCCCAAACCATTACAATCACGTTATCAATTAAGCTGCACATTTTCTAATGTAATTGGGCAACTTAATTAGTATTTGACTTAAAGTGAGGTTTTGAATCCCTGTTTCTCCAAGTCTAACATTGTTCAGGTATGGAGGGGTATGGGGAAAGAAAGCTCTGGTAAGGTGACAGGATTAGCAATGGACTACACCATAAAAGTCCAGCTTCTCTTCTCAGTCCTGAGTCTGCATTGCCCACCGTGATAAACAGTATTAAAGTAATTTGAAGAAAGGATGAGGGTAAGGAGAAGAGATTGGAAGAGAGTGAGAAAATGAAAGCAAAAGGCACCATTTGGAATAGGGTTTATAAAAAGGGCCTTCCGAAAAAGTCCTTCGTTTTCCCTTCTCTCCAAAGCTCAAGATTGGGGGGGGGATAAAATAATGGGTAAGATTTTTTTCCCGTGGCTTCTGAGAAGGCTTTTAGTGTAGTCATGTAACATCCATTTAAACACCCATTTAAAAGCCTACAATTTAATATAATTGAATTAGATGTTTAGCTTATTAACTTAATGCGTGGCCATTTCCCACAAACTTTCCACTCTTTCAGTTAAAGTGGAATCAAGCTGTTTCACCTGAGCAGCGCAAAAGCACTTCGTATAAATTCTGCATGACCTCCAGAGCCCACTTAGTCTGAAGCTATATTCCCCCACAACATATAGATTTATCACAGTGAGCAAAACCAATAAGACTTCAAAAGCAAAGACAGACGGTTTGGAAAAGTAATACGTCTGAATTGTGCTTGGACGTACGTATTTTTCGGAATATAGATTCCACACTGGAGAAGATGGAAGCATTTTTGCTAGATTATAAATTTTTCCTGGAAATTTATACTGCAGGGGATTGGGGGTCTTCAAAAGACCTGCTCAGGCTGAAACTACGGGAAGACAGAAATAGGTGCACAAAAGGGAAACAGAGCTGTCTAGTGCCTGAATCCCGAAGACATTTTTTTCTTTTTGGTGGCATAAACTTTTTTCGATTAGCTTCTTCCACCAAATGTTTATTAACTTGGCAGGTATACATACAAACCGGATGGGGTGGCTTGTAAACAATGAAATCAGAAGGAAAAGAAATGCAGAAAATACAAATTAATGTAACATTTATATGTACGTTTAATTGTTATAATGCCCATCCGCAAAGCCATGGTGGTATAATTCAAACATCCTGCCGTTACTGGGCTAATTAGCCCCTCTCGTCATCATCATGGCATTGTGAATGATCACTGCAAGAATTATAAACAGGTGGAAGGTTTAATACAATTGTTACAGTCCGGGCTTTTCACATTTTCTTTTCCTCCGACCTCACCCCCACACCAACACACATGCACAAACACAAATGTAGAATCTGTCTGCCAATTTAGGCTAATGTAGATTATAGGGCACAAAAGTTGACACCATGCATTAATATTGAAGATGATGTGAGATTTTGGATGTTTTTTTCTTGACCACCTCTCTGAAAACTTGTATATCAAGAGTCTGCCCTGGGAGGGAGTGATAGCATATAACTGTTTTTCTTTTGGTCCAATGGTCATCCCTGATCAAACAGGTCTTGCAGGTTTCTTTCCTGCTTCAGACTATGCCTAATGCAACAGGTCTGGCAGGTTTCTGAAGCAAAGGGCCGACACCTGCAAAAGCTGTGAACAAAGGTGATTTCACCAAGTATACCACAACTAACATGGTTTTGCAACTGTCCTCTGGCCTGTATGAAATGTGTTTTGAAACACTTTTGCCACACCCCCACAGTACATTTTTCTGTGTACATGTAGAGCCATTCCTCACAGGCACAGTGTAATTTCAGAGTGTGTAAAGAAGTTGAGAATTGATCACGGGGTGAATTTACACACCATGTACAATGAATGCATCTATCCAATGACTTTGGGAGGTGTTGGGCACCCCAGCGGTGGAGGCATTCAAAAGAAAATGGGACATCTATCTGCCAGGTATACTTTGATCTGGATTCCTGCAAATTTGCAAAGAGTTGGAGTCAATGGCCTTATATGCTCCTTCCAACTCCATTAGTCTATGGTTCTGTAATCCTTCCCTATTAACACTGCAGCCCCCCATCACTATATTTTTATTCCGGGGGGACGCCGACGACTGTGATGGCCTTATTTCGTCTGCTTCAGATGTTTCCTGGACATTCCTTTTCAACAAAATTTGATTGCCGCTGCTTTTACTGTTTAAACTAGCTGCATTCTTCTGCTGCACTTAATAGGAGGAGCTAAATCCCATTGAAGACAATGACGTTTGCTTTCAAGTGCGCATTACATGCTATTGAGACTTCTTTTTTAAAAAAAATAATTGCATTCGTTCTATTTTAACTAATGGAAATGCTTTGTTCACTTGGTTCTTTTTGTAGAACAGGGGCAAAAATAAGAGAGAGAATGAGAGAGAATGAGAATTAGACTCCAGATGGGAGATAACAGGCAGACAACTTCTCTATCTAGCTCGCTATCCTTCTCTAGAGCAGTGGTCCTCAACGTTGGGCCTCCAGATGTTATTGAACTACAACTCCCACAAGCCTTTGCCACCACCTCTGCTGGCCAGGATATCTGGGAGTTGAAGTCCAAGAACATCTGGAGGCCCAAGGTTGGGGGACCACTGCTCTAGAGGACTAATCCCGAAGGGCAGCATCTCGGGTCCTGAATCTCAGAACTGCTCTGTGCATATTCTGCACAAAAAAATGACTGCCTTCACGATCTGGTTTCCATGCTCCGGGCTTCATGATTTCCAGGATCATGTCCCTGCACTGCTTGGCAAAGCACTGGGGAGGGAAGGGGGAGGGGTGAGTGGTTGGGGTTGGGTTTAATCCACAGAGTCCGTACTTGGAAGTATTTTGCAGGAGAAGCACTGGTCTTCTGCCGCCTCTATAAGTCAGAGACCTCCCCTGAATAGGCGTTGGGCTCTTCTTCCGACCTCGTTGTCACCTTGAATTGGCGCCGCAGGAACCCGCCGTAGCGCTTCTGATTGTCCCATTTGAGCTTGGGCCGGATCCTGCGCATGAAGCCCCCGTAACGTTTGTGCAGGTCCTCCAGCTCTTGGCTGCCGTCCTCGGCAGTGTCCCCTTCCGACCCTCTCTTGGGATATTTGCGGAGGAAGCCACCGTAACGTTTCATCTCCTCCTTGAGAAACCCGGTATCTGGTCTCGCCCCGTTGAAGTCCAGGGTCCCCGTCTCCAGAGCCGTGGGATAATCCTCATCTCTCCCGGCCTCAGAGGCTGCTCGCCCTCCAACCTTCTGGAAGAATCCGTCATACTTCTTACTGATGCCCCCCTTGGTCAGGGCGTTCTCCCGGAATAGAGACAAGAGTTTGTTCCTGTCCAGCTTCTTCATAAAACCACCATAGCGTTTAACGGGCCCAGGAGAGACCTCCTCCCAGAAGCTGGGGTCACCTTCCTGTTCAGCCTTCTCCTCTTCCTCGGCTTGAGGCCATCTTTTGGACTCGCCCTCCATCAGGAAAGGGGGGAAGGTGGACAGGCCCTTCCTGCACTTTGCCCAGGCCTCAGTGGACAGCAACACACCTTGGCACTCCAAGGAGCAGATCTGCAAGACACCAACAGAAGGGAGACCCTTCACTCAAGCCAATGTGTTCCCATATCAGCCGTCCCTGTAACCCATCACATTCCCTGGCATTTATCTGTGATATTTATTCTATGGGGAGGAAAGAACACAATGGGATGCTGGGGGAAAGTAAACAAATCCATCCATCCGTCCGTCCGTCGGCAAACAAATCCATCCATCCATCCGTCCGTCCGTCTGTCCGTTCGACCGACCGACCGACCGTCCGTCCGTCTATCTATCTGTCTGTCTGTCTGTCTGTCCGTCCATCCATCCACCCACCTGTCCGTCCGTCCGTCCGTCTGTCTAATTGACCATCCGTCCATCTATCTGTCCATCCGTACATCCGTCTGTCCATCCATCCATCCATTCGCCCGTCTGTCTATCTGTCTGTTTGCCTGTCTATTCGCCCATCTGTCCATTCGTCTGTCCCTCTGTCTATTTGTCCATCTGTCCATCTATCTGTCCATCTATCTATCACCCATCTGTCCATTCGTCCATCCCACCATCTGTCTATTTGTCCATCTGTCCATCCATCTGTCCGTCTATCTATCTGTCCATCCATCCATCCATTCGTCTGTCTGTCCATTCGTCTGTCGGTCCATCCATCCATCCGTCCATCCACCCGTCCATCCACCCGTCTGTCTGTCTGTCTGTTCATCGGTCCGTCCGTCTGTCCATCTGTCTATCTGTCCGTCCACCCACCCACCTACCTATTTATTTATTTTTATTGTAGGCCACCTTACTCCTGGTGAAGGGCCCCAGGGCGCATCACAATGTTAAAACAGGTAAAACTGAAATCGCAATGAATTACTGATTTAAAAGTAGTTAATCTACACTGCTAATTAAAAAAATCCATTAAGTCATTTGAAAATATTTAAAACTATAAAAGCAAACTTAGGGAAGCAAAAGGCCAGCATCCAAGTATTCCATCACAGTTATTAAAAGTCATTCTGAAGAGATGCATCTTCAGCTTTAGGTGGAAGGACAAAAAAAGGAGGGTAAGTCAACTCCCTAAGTTCAATTGATTCAAATGGGCCTGCTCTAACTTGTTACCTTAAAGTACATCGTCGTTAGAGTAGGCCATTTGAATCAATAAGGAGGGCCACTGATTTAATCGGACCACCCCAGTGTGATTTGCTAGGCTAAGCAACAGGATTTGGGCCATTAAATCCATCAATCAAAACAGAAAATAGATCCTTGTCTTTTAAAAACAATCAATCAATCCAGAAAATAGATCCTTGTCTTTTAAAAACAAAACCACAAAGATCGGCCGTGATTCAGGTTCTTTCCGGTTCTCTTGAGAGAGGAGAAGAAAGTAACGAAGAAGAGGCTTGTAATTAAACAATAGGGTTTCGTTTTTCTATAAATTGTCATCTTTCTCTCACATCTCAGATCTTATGGAGCTTCTTAGGTATATAGATCTGATAACTGTACCTAATAGCATTCTGTTCAGATCAGTACCGAGCATAATGGCCACTCCGACAATTAAGATAGGATCATCTGGGGTACTAGACTGAAATAAATTACATTAGATATAGGGTTGCATTAGGTATTCATCCATATATAGACGTTCAATTATTTGATAGCCTTACTGGCAGAAAGAGTACAGTGGCCTCCTGCTGAGCCTATGACCACTGAAGAAAAGAAATCATTCCGGAGGTGGATGGCAAGATAAAGAAAGGAAAATTACTGTTTATTGGTTGTTGTGGGTTTTTCGGCTCTTTGGCCGTGTTCTGAAGGTTGTTCTTCCTGATGTTTCGCCAATCTCTGTGGCCGGCATCTTCAGAGGACTGGAGTTGGAACTCTGTGTCCATGCTCTATCCTACTCCAGTCCTCTGAAGATGCCAGCCACAGAGACTGGCGAAACATCAGGAAGAACAACCTTCAGAACAGGGCCAAAGAGCCCGAAAAAGCCACAACAACCATCAGATCCCAGCCATGAAAGCCTTTGAGAATTACTGTTTATTATTTGGAAATCTGTTTGGGTATAATAAAAAGATCGCAGAACTTTGTCACCAAAGGATACAGAGCTGACCTCATCTATATGCTTACAGGTCTACTGCTCTGTCTACTTCAGGCGGAGGAGAAAGAAAGAGCAGAACTTCTCCCTCAAATGAAGAAGGAGGAAGGAAATCAACCAACAAATATGAATCTGCATGAAAAGCCAGAAAAGACAAAGGAAAAACGCCTATCTTGCTCCCTTTTCTCTCCCCTTTCCACTTGTTTACTGCAGAGACCATGAGCAAGATGGGTTTGAGCTGGGTGATGACGGATTTCATTTGTTAAATATCAAGCCACATCTCATAAATTGCATCTCTCGCCTTCAGGATGTCAGTCATTCAAATGGGCAGGAAAAAGTCATCTCTGACTGGGGCTGTAACTTACCAAGGGGCTGATGGACTTCTCCCCATCCTGGCTGTGAAGAGCGCACAGAGAGCATTGACTGCCACAATCAGCAGAACCTGAGTCAGCCAAACTGAGGCACAGAGCCAGTCCCAGAAGCCGCCACTCCATTATTTACGGCAGGAACCTGAAAGGACAGGAAGCGAGGTGAGCGCATCACAGAAGAAACAGCAAAAGGATTTGGGGAACCTTAAAGATGAATGAGCTCTAGTTGGCACTGGATTTTGAGGAAAGGAAATTGACATCTTCAGCGGCATCAGTGAAGCAGATGGACTTTATAGGAGAGAAGGGGATTCGAACTGTAAAAGAAGTGCAAAAGGTTGAGCATGGTAAAGGTAAAGGTTCCCCTTGACATTTAGTCCAGTCATGTCTGACTCTAGGGGGCGGTGCTCATCCCCGTCTCCAAGCCGTAGAGCCAGCGTTGGTCCGAAGGCAATCTTCCGTGGTCACGTGGCCAGCACGACTAGACACAGAGCGCCATTACCTTCCCACCATAGTGGTACCTATTTATCTTGCATTTTTACATGCTTTCAAACGGCTAGGTTGGCAGGAGCTGGGACAAGTGACAGGGGCTCACTCTGTCACATGCATTTGATCTCGGCTGGTCCTCTGACCTTCCAGCAGAGAGGCTTCTGCAGTTTAACCTGCAGCGCCACCAGGTATTCCTTTAAATGGTGGTTGTTAAGCATCATTAAGAGTCCTTGAGGGTGTCAGCTAGAGAGCTTAAAGGTGGTCCTTAAAAATCATTGAAAATTTATGGGTGGACAGCCAGTGCCCGTAAGCATGGATGAACAGATTAACCCATGCCATACAGAGAAAACTCTTCATGGAAAACTAAGTTGGCACATTTGGTCCAAAACAGAAATCAAAGGGGGAGGGGAGGAAATAGGCAAATATGGTGCAAAAAAAATGTCATACAGCAGGCTCATCAACAGTGGAGAGAACCTGCAGAGATGACTTGATTAACCCATGGAGTGGAATTTAGAAAGCGTTAAACCCTGAAATTATCACGTACGTCAGGGCCCACCCCAAAATGCCAGTCCTTAGGAGCCAGCTCCCATGCATTTCTGGGTTGGGTGGGCGCATCCCCCTTTAGCAGTAGAGCACAATGGTTAAATATGCAAAAGGCTTGTATTCAGACTCAGGTTTTCAATGAAAACAGGGAGCCAATGTTTGGTTCTGAAGGTAAAGGTAAAGGTAAACATTCCCCTTGACAATTTTTGTCAAGTTGTGTTCAACTCTAGGGGGCGGTGCTCATCCCAGTTTCCAAGCCATAAATTTAGCAGTACAATGGTTAAATATGCAGGAGGCTTGTATTCAGACTCTGGTTTTCAATGAAACTTTAGCCACGTTTGTATTTTCAAGTGGAGAGCTATAAATGTAGCAAAACAACCATCCCCAGTCTTCTGCCCTCCATATGCAAGATACTATAACTCCCAGCAACCACTGTCAGTATGGCCAACAGTCAGATTGGCTGGCATTTCTGGAAGTTGTCACCCAACACTCCTGGTGGGCACAAGATGTAGGAAGGTTTATGCTGATGGTCCTTCTGAGCTCAATGGGCCAATGATCTCGCCAGGTACAAGGCAGCTTTACACGGCCCTGCAATCTTGAGCTTCAATCATCTGCCCTAGCGTTTCCACATCTCTTGAAGCTTTCATAAGTACATTCTGAAAGGAAACTCCCTTAGAGCTATGGCAAGATTTTGCAACTGGGAGACTGACACAAATGACGAGTGAATAAATGCCCACGGAAGAGTTTGAATGGACCCCAATTTCACCTACAATATTTCCTCCTTTTGATGGTCTCCGTCAAATAATTATGACATGTCAGCTGAGTTACAGTGTACAGTTCCAAACCATGCATGTAACCTCCTTTGCTTTGCTTTAAGTCATTAATCAGTGCCCAATTACTAAGTAACTTAGAATTATGCATTAGTAGTATGTTGGTTTAAGTTATTTTTAAAATTCTTTTTAAGTAATAGACTTGAAAATACAAACGTGGCCAATAGAATTAATAACTAACTGTTGCTTCTTAACCCCAAAGAATGCTATTTTTAACGGACAGCCCATTCTTTATTCATGTCGTGAGCTGCGTCAAGTTCCCAGGCCTGAGAGCAAGGAGAAGGTATTAAATAAACAACTGAGCCAATGTATTATAATGGACAGAGTGTCAGGATTCAGGAAACCTGGGTTCAAATCCATACTGGGTCATGGAAATTCACCAGTGTGGAATGGCAGTGAAAAACCATTTCCTGAATCGATCAGAAATCTTGAAAACCATATTAGAATCACCTTAAATCGGAAATGATGGCACATAACAACAGCGTTGCTATGACCTCGTTACTCCCCAAAGTAACATGTTACAGATCGTACCTTTAATTGTAATATGCTCCTTTCAAGCTCTGGTTCTAAACCAGAGCAGTTAAACTTCTTGTTTTTTCAACTTCGGGGAGAGATTGACTGCCATCAAGTTTTTTTATGAGTGTTCCAGCTTAGCTGAATTTTTGGACTTCTTTGGAGCAACAAGGGTGAACCCTGAGAGCTCTCCAAGGTCCTGCTTAACTGGCCCATAACAAGGAAACCTGCTTCTATATGTCTTCTCTATGCTAGCTGCATCCTACTACCTGGTTGCAAGTCATTTTCCTCCTGAGACTGCCCTGCAGCCCATGGGCTCTCAGAAAAGACCCAGAACACTTCCTGGCATTGCTGATATCAATGTGAAACCATCACGTTTAAAGCCCTGTGCTCCAAAACCACATCTGCTTCTCTTTTCTATTTTTTTAAAGTTGTCTGAACAAACACAGAGTGAGGTCTTCTTGTGTCTTTGTCACACTCCTTCCCTACCCCATGATGATTTCTTTGCCAGCCTTCTGCATCAATGCTTGTCTTTCTCCTTCATGTCCCTCCACAAGCAGAAGCTGTCAAGCTGGACCAACAACATGGGGTGGAAGATCTTCATCCTTCTGCACTGGGCAGTTTGAAGCTGTCTTTAGGTCCCCTTGACAGAGAAAAAGAATAAAGGCCTCTAGGGAATGTGAAACAAACTCTTTTTCTACAAAGAGACCGGGCAAGAAAAGTGCACATCCTCTTTTTCTAAACCCGTTCACCCACCAAAACTAAACAGGTTTCAACTCTTCAATCGAAAGTGGTTCCAGCTGCCTGCCCTCGTTACAACTGTGGGCCACAGTAAATATTATACAGGAAAAAAACAGTTTCCCATTGATTTTTAATTGAAAGTGCTGAAAGGGTGGAAGACCACTGTTTAAGCCTTGATCCCCTTGTCTTCATGCCCTCGGTCTAGACTGAGGATTCCCAGCCATGGGTAACCGAGATGCTTTGGGACTCCCTGAAGCCCCAGTCAGCACTGCTAGCCGTGAGGGCTTGAGGGAATTGCAGTTCAAGAACATCTGGGACCAAAGTTGGTATAGACGAGTGGTTCTCAACCTTGGATCCCCAGATGGTTAGCCTTGAGAAAAGAACACTGAGGGGAGATGGAGATAGGGTGGCACTTTTTCAAATATTTGTAAGGTAGTCATAGAGAAGAGGAGAGGCAGGATCTGTTCTCAGTTATCCCTAGATTGCAGAACATGTAATAATGGGCTCAAGGAAGCTACAGGAAGTCAGATTTTGGCAGAATATTGGGGGGAATTCCTAACTGTTAGAGCAGTAAGACAATGGGACCCTTGACCTCAAGAGGTTGGGGGGGGGGAGGATTCCTAACTGTTAGAGAAGTAAGAGAATGGGACCCTTGACCTCAAGAGGTGGAAAGCGCTCCAATGCTGGAGGCCTTCAAGAGAGACCCTTGACCTCAAGAGGTGGCAAGCGCTCCAGTGCTGGAGGCCTTCAAGAGAAAATGAGACCATCAATCTGCCAGATATCCTTTGATTGGATTCCTATCTTGAGCAGGGGGTTGGAGGTCAGATCCGCTCTGAGTTGGATTCTTGCCTTGAGCAGGGGGTTGGACTCGATGGCCTTAGAGGCTCCTCCCAAATCAGTTATTCTGTGATTCTGTGCAAAATTTCCCTCCCAGCTGTTTTTCGGAACACAGGGACGGAGGGGGAGATACAGAGAACCCACATATTTCCTCCTCTTAGTGGGAAAACGCGACCAACATGAATTTAACCCAACTCCAGGAGGCAGTGGAAGACAGGAGGGCCCGGCGCGCTCTTCTCTTAGTTGGAAAATGCAACCAACATGAATTTAACCCAACTCCAGGAGGCAGTGGAAGACAGGAGGGCCCGGCGCGCTCTGGTCCCTGAGGTCACAAAGAGTCGGACATGACTTAACGACTATAAACAACAACAAAAGTGGGAAAACAGCTCAGAGACAGGAATTCTAGGTAGAAAAAGGGGTGTGAGGGAGGAAAGGGGTTAAGAAGGCTCCCTACCACTACCTCCATTCAGAAGAGTTTCCTCATGCAGTTCCTTTCCCCAAAAAAGACAAGAACCAAAAACCCAGGCAAACATATATAGGCACTTGAAATGTTCTAGCTCCGTGTTCTGTTTAACCCTGCCTGAGATAAGACGCCTCTCCATGTGAGCAAGTACACGGCCCATTAAGCCTGGAGTTTTTGCTTGCCATCTGCTACAAAGACGGACGGCCCAGACAATGAAACAGCCTGCTCCCTGCCCGTGCCCTAGGCATCCCTAGCCATGCTTTACTACTTCCGGATAAACTGACACTGCAGTTTTACACCACACGACATCTGGCCTCAGAGCTTTGCCGTGAAATTTTGTGACTGCTAGAAATGAGGGAAATCACTGAAATTCCATACTTTCACTGGGAGCCGTTCTGTGAGGTTACTCGCCGTCAGAGCTGATAACTATAATTACCTGTAACTAGTTACTTTTTGGACAATGGCATGGTGGCAAAGAGACATTTTAAAGTCAATGTAACCAGCAGGATCAAGTTTACTGCATTGGTGTAATGAGTGATGTTTAGGGGTAACTTTAAAGTAGTTTAAAGTAGTTTTAAGGGGACATGGTAGTGGTGCGGGTTAAACCGCAGAAGCCTCTGTGCTGCAAGGTCAGAAGACCTGCAGTCATAAGATCGAATCCATGCAACGGAGTGAGTCCCCATCGCTTGTCCCAGCTACCGCCAACCTATTGGTTCGAAAGCATGCAAA